TAAAATAAAGATTATTATTATTATTCTTTTTTCTTGTTACAAAGATGGGATAAATATCGAGATCGCTTGGATTCCTGGCCACTCTGGCATATGTGGTAACGAGTGTGCGGATTCATTGACCAAATTTGCGGCCTCGAACGATGTCGAACGCCAGCACCACATTGTGTACGAGTATGTTATACGTGCAGACACAAAGCACAAGCTGTTTGACTCATGGACTGCAGCGTGGGTAGACACGTCCAAACATAAAGGAGCGTACTATGCAGTTGTCCAGCCCGGCATCCGACAGAAACCTTGGTTTTCCAAGTACCCCAAGCTTCCCCGTCATACTGTTTCATCCTTGTGCAGGCTCAGACTTGGCCATTGCAGTATTGCGAATGCGGCCTTGATGAGGGAACTTTAGAAAACATCTTTTTTTCGTGTCCCTTAATTCCCAATCCTTTGACCTCTATAAAAAACTTCCAAAGGCAGTATCCAAATGAGATCAAAATATGACGTTGTTCAATGATATTAATTATGTACATTTATACTCATATCTATCTGTATTGTGTATGTCCCCCAACTATTTTTTACACCACTGTATATACAATAAAATAGTTGATAATGTCTATGTTTATTAACTCGTCGAATACCGTAATTATAGACACAATTATAGAACAATAGGTTGCGGTCACCGGTGACCGCTTGGTGTTTGACAGTTTAACCCAATTTTTTTGTCATTCCAGCTACTAACAACTAAAAACTACCGCAAAGTTGAGTTCGACGGTTCATTAATCTTGCTGTAACCACTCGACACTGGCAATATAGTCGATAACACCAATTTGGAGACTCGGTGGCCAAAGAAGAAAAAAAAAGTACCAGGACCACTGACGTTGAAATAAAGAGGGGCTCTTACTTTTTAAACCATTGAACCTATTTGATGAAATTCGATACAGCGATAGTTTCAGTCCCGGGAAAAGACAACCCGGAAAACCCACGAAACTGGAAACTGTGCGTTAAAATCACTATATCTCTTTGATTGAAATGCGATACAACATTGATTTGCAAACATAGAATAGTTTTGATCACTGAAACCTCACAAGACGGGCACTGTACGGGTAAAACCTCTGTGGGATTGTTCATTTTCGAAACCATGAAAATAAATTAATTTCTCAATAAATATAACCTAGGTACTGAATCGATCGTGATGATATTTGTTCCAGTTGTATAGCCGCAGAATATACCTTAACAAAGACTAATTTAAAAACCCAATTTATACCGAAGTCGTGGGTAACAGCTAGTAATATTATAAATTTGTGTGTGCCTGTTTGTTTGTTTGTCCATATTTCACGACAGAATGGAGTCAGGAAGGTTTTTGATTGGAGATAGTTGAAAGGTAAATTAAATTAAGGCTATTTTTAGTCTTTTTTGTTTTTTCTAACCCCCTTCCATTTCCCTGAAAGTTTATATTTTGAAATTTTCAATGTGGAAAGCTAAAAATTGGTATGCGGATTATTTATGACGAGCATAAAATCGTGCATCATTTCTGTTATATCAAAAGTCTTAAAATATTTAATAAAATAAAAAAGGATACAAGCTACGCGGTTTGCAGACAAGTGTTATGGCAGCACTTGCTACCCATATACGAGGGCAAGCGCCTATTCAAATTTTCATAGCATCCTACGAATTGCTTCTTGTTGCTATTAATATAAATTATGCATTGGCTGAACATTTCATTTATTTATTGTAAATCCTTCCCTCACCCCATTAAACGAACGCGAGTGAAGTCGCAGGTAGAGGCTAGTCTATGAATAAATTGTATTCAGTTAATTGAATTTGTATTTTGTCTTTAAAATCCCTGATCCCTGATGCAGTTGAATACTAATATTAGTCCTTGAAAACCCACAGAACTTCATTTTTGTCTGTTGATGCCAAAATTTATTATGGAAGTAGGACGCCATAACAATTACAAATCATCAGGTTGGTTACCATAGTAATGCTACCTGTCAGTTATAGTATAATCTTAAAATTCGGCATAGTGACTTCCACATAAAAGGTAGAAATATGCCGTCGTGGACTTTTATTTAGAACTAATCAAGACAAACAATCTTACTGTACATTATCTTAGTGTAACTCCTATGGCTTAGGCAGCGCAAGCTGATATAGGTCTCAGAGACTCCATTTGGCTAGCATTTTGTGTTATATTACGCCCAAAATAACATAAATTGATTTCAAATTGTAGCCTGTATGTTATTCTGATATATATAACCTACATAACTGTGAAGTTCAATCTAAATCCGATCAGTAGAATTTGCGTGAACCAGTAATAAACACATCCAGACACATACATCCACACAAACTTTCGCATTTATAATATTAATAGGAAGTAGGATTAATTCAAGGCTAACAAGCAATAACAGACGCTGAGTATTTTTATTTCCACATTTTAATAATAAGGTCGCTTATTTACACTTTGGAGCAAAGAAACGGAGCCCCCCTTTTTATGAGGGGGGAAAATCGTCCAATGACTTCTCCCGCCCGAGTGAGGCGAAATGGAGTGACGGACTCTTCCTGACTAAAAACCAGCCCGTCCTGCACTTCGACCACCTGTGGTGGTCTGATGGCACCTTAAGGCGCGCGCGGAACGCGACGCACCGTACGCTCGGGCCTGGTTCTGGTCAGGCGGTGAGTCACCCGTGCTCGTCGTCCACAGGCCCGAGCTTACGGTGGCCGAAAATCGTCTCGCGATCCCCGACGCCCGAAAGGTCCCTCGCGACGGCCGAGGCGTAAGGAGGTTCGTTCCCTCACGTGCTCTGACTCCTCCTTAGCTGGCCGGGCGATCCTTGCAGTAATGACACCCGGTCGTTTCCTCCCGCCTTATCCAAAACAGGAACCTACCGAAACTCCCGTGTCCAGTAAGCACCTGCGTCAGGCAGTAGGTGAGTACGCCGTATCGTCTCTCAAGCCACTCCTCAAAGAGGGGATTTATATATATACGGGAATAATAATACATGGTCCTCATGATAATTAATTGTCCAATGAAAAATAAGTTGTTAAACCCGACTACGAAAAAAAACGTCCTAAAAGTATCAAACAAAAAATATCTTAGAATACTAAGCACGCGACTTCGTCCGCGCGTTATGCTCATCAAAATGTTGTTTGCAATGCTCTGGCGCCTAAACTATTAATATTATCAAAAAAACTACTATCTGGACATAATTTTTTTTTTATGGAATAGGAGGCAAACGAGCAGACGGATAACCTGATGGTAAGCGATCAGCGCCGCCCATGGACACCCGCAACACCAGAGGAGTCACAGGTGCGTTGCCGGCCTTTTAAAAAGGAGTACGCTCTTTTCTTGAAGGTTTGAAGCTCTTATCGGTTCGGAAATACCGCCGACTACAGATCATTCCACGGTTTTGCTATGCGAGGCAGGAAGCTACGTGAGGAGCGCACAGTTGTGGCCTGCCAACCATCTATATGATGGGGATGCATATGCTGACGTGAGGGTCGATGGCGAAAAGATGCGGCAGGAATCAGGTCAAACAATTCCTCAGAGCACTCCCCGTGGTATAAGCGGTAGAAAATGCACAATGAAGTTACATCTCTACGCATTGCCAAAGTGTCGAGCCGGTTTGAAACATCCAGACAGCCAACAACCCGAACAGCACGCCGCTGAATGCGGTCCGGAGGAAGAAGCTAGTACTGGGATGCCCTGTGCCTTATACAGAAGCAGGAGGTGGGCCGGTGTGACATACTGCCTCGATCTATTGAGCACACCAAGCTTCCTTGAGGCTAATTTGGCCTTATCTTCTAAATGACCGCAAAACTGGACGTCGCCGTCGCTCGAAATGCTGACACCAAGTATTCCAATACCGGCTGAGGCAGTTAGGGGGGTGCACACGCAGACTTGTGTCTTAGTGGGGTTAAACAGGACCAAATTAAGTTCACCCCAATCAGAGATTCTCCCTAAAGAGGTCTCGATTTCAGACACGAGTCTGTTTCGGCTCTCTATGACGTTTTCCCGAGAAATGTTACTGCGGCTAGTATAGTAGGCACCGCCTGTACTGTCATCCGCATTACAATGAATGCCGCTGATTTGCAGCATGTCATTGATATGGAGGAGAAACAATGTAGGCGATAGCACGCAGCCTTGGGGACACCTGCGTTTACAGACATCAAGTTTAGTCAGAGCATTCACCATCGACAACAACCTTAATGCTTCTGTCTGCAAGGAAGTAGGAGACCTATTTGCATAATTTCTCGGGAAGTCCGTAGGAAGGAAGCTTCAAAAGAAGCGCTCTATGCCAAACCCGATCGAAGCCAACGCTTCCCCCTTAGACCGCCTTGCCCACCGATGAGTTAGGTAAACTAGGAGATCACCAGCAGACCTACCTTGACGAAAACCGTATTGCTGGTCACTGAACAGCTGATGATCCTCTAAGTAACGCAGGAGCTGGTAGTTAATAATGGACTCCATTATTTTCAAGAAGAGGGAAGTTATGGCTATCGGTCTGTAATTTCGCTGGCTACAATTACAGCTAAGGTGTTGGACTGTCTGCTTGATACACACATGGCGAATAACATCAAAATTCATGATGCACAATTCGGCTTTAGGCCCGGCCTGTCAACAGAAACCGCGATTCTTTGTCTCAAGCAGACGGTCCAATATTATCCAGCTAGGAAGACACCAGTCAATGCGTGCTTCCTTGATTTGTCCAAGGCATTCGACCTGGTACAATATGACATACTTTGGGAAAAGCTGAGAAAGGAGAGCAGTGTTGACGGGTCAGTAATTTCGTTGCTTATGTATTGGTACAACAATCAGACAAACAATGTGAAATGGGCGGGAACACTATCAAATGTCTATAGGCTAGACTGTGGCGTGAGACAGGGGGGGGATATCCTCACCACGCCTATTTAATTTGTACATCAATCCACTGATTGATGAGCTCAGCAGCACTCATGTAGGGTGTCACATTGACGGTACTTGTGTCAATAATATAAGCTACGCAGATGATATGGTGTTGCTGTGTCCGTCAATCAGCGGTCTCAGGTGGCTCCTAAGAAAGTGTGAAGATTATGCGGCGGCTCATGGGCTCAGGTACAATGCTAAAAAGAGTGAACTACTTGTCTTTAAAGCGGGCACCAAATGTTACTCGAATGTGCCACAAGTTACCATTTCTAATTCACCATTGACTAGAGTATCTCATTTCAAGTACTTGGGTCACTGGGTCACCGAGGATCTCAATGAGAACATGGACATTGAACGTGAGCGCAGGGCGTTGGCTGTCCGATGTAATATGCTGATCCGCAGATTTGCGCGGTGTACAGGAGACGTCAAAACTACTCTCTTTAGAGCCTTTTGCCAGTCCTTTTACACATGCGCTCTGTGGGGCGGCTATACGAAGGGGGCATACAGCGCCTTGCGTGTTCAATGCAACAATGCGTTCAGAATGTTGAATGGACTGCCACGTTTTTGTAGTGCATCAGCCATGTTTGCAGAGGCCAGAGTTGATGGGTTCCATGCAATCATACGCAAACGTTGCGCGTCCCTCCTCAGTAGAATGCGTGGCAGTTCACACAGCATCTTGAGCGTTTTGTGTGATAAATGGGATAGTCCAATGTTGGGCCATTGGGTTAGACTGCACGCGGCTGTAAAGTAGAATTAGTTTTGTTTATTTATATTATATTAAATTACTAACAATAGGTTAAGCTCATTGTTACTAATAGTTTATGGACTCTAGGTCTGAAATAAATGATTAATAATAATTATGCCGATTATTCAGCATAATAATTACGATTTATCTGGAAACGGATAACAGACAGGTAACGTTACTATGGTTGATTTATTATTATTATTTATTTATTTATTATTGTGATGTTAACACGGCTTTACACCAATTACATTAACACACATACAAAGAGAATCAAACAGTTACAATAACAGAAAAGAAGAAAAAAAAAAATTAAACACTTAAATAAACATCACAGTAAAAAAAATAGAATTAAAATTTAATTAAAAATCATAAAGAAAAATCAGACAATTACAATAGTAGATGACAAAAAAAAAGAAGAGGTACCTATATCACAGTAAAATGAAAACAAAACATTTAATTATACACTTCAACACAGACTTCAGAGATATTCACAAAAACTGAGACAAACCTTTTTAATAGCTTTAAACTCGTCGTAATGCGAGGAATGGGGGACGATGGTAACCAACCTGATGATTGGTAGTAGTATGGTGGCCTATTTCCATAGTAAATTTTGGCATCAACAGACATAAATGAAGTTTTGTGGGTTTTCAAGGACTAATATTAGTATTCACCTTGACCAATACCTTTACTTGTCCATCGACATATAACTTTAGGTTCACTATATTTATTAATTTCTATTAACAATCTCCTCTCACTCAGATAAGGCCAAATATATTTAGATAGTTTAAATTCAACGTTTAATTCTTCTAATGTGAGGAAGACTTTGTTTATTAAAATATTATTGCAGGTATGCGTTAATAATATCTAGAAAACTGGTTAGTGTAGACAAGTTTTTTGTGAAACCTATTTGTATATAAGATATTAATCGTACTAAGGAATCCAATGTAGACTGTGCACGCCTGAAGCCCGTTGTTTTATTCGATAAAATTTTATTTTTTTCAATAAACCATTCCAGGCGTTTAGTAATAATTGAATGGAATACTTTACATACACATGACATTAAAGCAATAGGTCTCAATTTAAGTGTCGGACTCGCCAAGTCACCATGTTTGGGTATCGGATGTATTTTAACATATCGCTATTGCAAAGAAATAGGCCCTTGAGCCAAAATACAATTATACCTCTATATATCTAATAAGAAAGATTTAGCGTTTATTGGTAGGTTATACAACATAGAATATGCTATCAGGTCATTGCCGGGGGCTGTATCTTTTCTTTTAAACATCTGTTCAATTCATCCATGTTGAAGGATTTATCGATTGAAACAGTGGCATTAGTGAGATTGCAGTATCAGGGGATAAACTACAAAATAACTCCTCTTTAAATGTTGATCAGAAGCCTGAAATTGCTCTCTATTATATCCTTTAACCAATCTGATTCGATGCCACATCTCAGAGAGGGATACCGACTCATCAATATTATTACAGAAATCGTTCCAACATCTAGATTTGTATTTCTTTACTAGCTGTGCCCGCGACTTCGTCCGCGTGGAATTTAACAAAAAAATTAATTCGTTTATTTTTTATTTTAGTTATCATTTATTTTCAGTTTTTTGTATTAGCTTTATTGAAAAATTTCTTTATATACAATATTTGGTGTACGATTTTCTTGGGCTAAAACAACAACGCTACTGGCATT